ACTTACGTTAGTAGAAGAGATGGGTCGGCATATGGGGATGGAGGCTGGTTCCGAGGCAGAGGGCAGATTACTGGCCCTCAGGTGAATCACCATTACTAGGTGAATCACCATCACTGTCACTTACAGTTGTCAGGGCTTCCCTGACAAATCCCTCAAAGTCATCTTCACTGTCACTATCACTGGCTTGGGCTGGCTGTGGTGGGTTGCGGGCGAAGAAATCTGTTATGCTTTGCTGACGGCTGGTGTTGATGTTGTCGTGATACACCTTGATGTAGGGCTCTATAGTCTGCAACAGCTGGGTAGTGAAGATTTCATACCTGTTTGCGTCAGGGTCGTCGGAAAGGAGGAGCTTGACTTTCTCGATACACTCGATGGCACCCCTAACATTACTATGGGATAAGTGTTGTTCTTCTTGGGATGACGCACCACCTGCCTCTTCACTGACGTCGTCATCATCATCATCTACCATCTCGTCGGTAGTCACATGAGGATCCCTTATCACCTCCAGGCTGTCGTCGTTGGTGGTCTCGGAGAGGCCTGGAACTGTAACAGTCTGCGCAGCTTCTCTGGCAAGGTCCACTGCTACTGCAACAGTCTGAACCTCACCAGTCACAGATTGACTCCTCCTCTCACCTGGTATTCCATGCAACACATGTCTCCATGCGTGACGAATTGTAGCAATAGACAGCTGATCCCATGACTCCACCAAGAAGTCCACAGCTTTCTTGATGTTAAATTCTCTCCAGAATTGTTTGAAGAGTATTTTTTGCTGTGCCAACTGTTGATCCTCATCTTCTTCGCTCTTGCTATCGGTGGTGGTGTCACTCAGGTTGCGCAACTCTTCCCTGGTGTTGGTGTAGTCGTTCAGGAGTTTGAATTTTTTCGTAGAGAATGCAGCTTTTACATTACAGATTAACTCTTGGTCCATGGGCTGTAATATAGACGTAGTGTTGGGAGGAAGGAAGACCACTTTTATGTTGGGGTGACGATCTAACAGTAGGGGCGAGTGTCCTGGTGCGTTGTCCAGCAGCAACAAAATCTTGAATGGCACATTCTGTTGCTCACAGAATTTCTTTACATCGGGAACAAAACAGTCATCAAACCAGGAAAGGGACAGTGTAGAGAATATCCACGCCTTACGTGCAGTCAGCCAGTGGACATTTAGCTTGGTCATGTCCATGGTTTTGTAGGCGTGCGGCTTGCGTGCTGTGCGGATCACCGATAACTTGAGCTTACTGGTACCGGAGGCATTGGTGGTAAACAGGACGGTGATGTGTTCCTTCTGCATCTTCCGGCCCCGAATCTTGCTGGCATTCTTTACAACGAAGGACTTGGAAGGTAGCTTTTTCCAGAAAAGACCAGATTCGTCCATGTTAAACACCTGGTCGTCAGTGTACTGTCCTTCCTCCATAATCTCACGTAAAAACGGAGGAAATTCCCTAGCCGCAGCACGGTCAGCACTCGCTTCTTCACCACCAATGTTTATATTGGTGATCTTGTTCCGGATCTTAAACTTCTGTAACCACCCAGAGGAAGCATTAAAGGGTTTGGGCTCTGTAGTTCCCATCTTTCGTGCCACTGCCATGTACAGTTCACGTGCGTACTCCTTAACAGAGCGCGTGTCGACCGCCATGTTCCGTCGCGCCTGACGCACCAAGTACCTCACAAGTAATTTTTCTGTCTTGAGAAGCACCTGGTTGTGAAAATACTTGATCATAGAAGCACCTGTAGACTTTGTGATCTTCATGTGCTCCTTTATCTTGGCTGCATCCTTCTTTATTGTTTGAATCGTAGATTCATTCACACCATGCTGGCGCGCCAAATCAACCTGCCTTGTTCCTTTCTCCAACTCTTGGATGATGGTATACTTCACCTCGTAGCTTAAGGAACGTCGTGTCTTCTTTGGCTTAGTGCCGGTGGGTCCAGGTAAGGAAAGGTTTCTCTCTGGGGGTGGTGGTCCGGCGGAAGCCATTTTAGAGAACAATGGATGCACGTTTACACGGTCTGGCGTGGAGGGATGAAACTGGCGCGGCTAGGTCAAGGATCATCTTTCCTCCCTCCCTCCCTCCCCCGGGTGGACAAGTCATAATACTTTAAGCCAATTACAGCTAGCAGCAGAGGGGGGTAGGGATGCATGGCCAATCACAGTCCGATACGTCATATGACGTCAGTGATAACGCAACAAAGACACACACTGCGCAACCTTACCGCACGGCTTGCCCAAGCGGAGGGAGGAGGAGGGAGAGGCGAGGAGCACAGGCAGGCAAGTGGGTGGGGCGAATCTAAAAATAGCGTCGCGCCGGACACTCTCCGCGTAATGGGGTTCACGCACCGCGTAATGTGAGCACGTTAGGTTCTGGCAAGGCACCGCGTTAACGTGGAAATGCGGAATGTGGGACCGCGTAAAGTGAGGGTTGACTGTATAAATCTGAACAGGGATAAATTACTCCAGAAGCCAGCTTTCCTTCTAGCAATAGCAACGGGTATGAGATTTAGTGAACTGATTTCAATTTCCAATAACCCATCATTATTGGTATTTTCTGACGAGGATGTTATCCTTTTTCCTATGGAGATCCTAAGAAAAAATGAAAGGGAAGATTTCCAAGCTCAACCTATTAGGATAAAACGTCTAATGGATGAAACTAGGGTTCCTCATATATTGTGTCCTGTTAAAAATCTTCAGGAATGGTTAACCAGATTCCCTAATAGAGGCCCTTATGTTTTCTCATCAAGGGATGGTAAGAAATTATCTCCTAGTCAATTGACAAAATCCTTATCTCAATTAGTGAATCAAGCAGACCCTGGCAAGAAATTTTTGGCACATGACACTAGGAAATATGCAGGGTCTGTGGCCCTTCCGCGGCATATGAGTCTCAGTCAGATCAAGGAAATGGGCTTTTGGAGATCTTCAAAAACTTTCAAAGACAGCTATCTTCATCTATCTCTGAGAGATTCTTCAAATGTAGTGGTGCTGGGTTCCCCTCCCCCATCTATTCAATCTCCACTACCAGGACCTTCTTCCTCATTAGAATAAAGTGAGTATCCTTTTTGAGTAAATTAACATTTTACCTTCAGGTAAATGTTCCTAATTTTGGAAATGTTCAAAATAGTTTATATGAGGACCTCAGTCAGCGGAGCCTTGTATGCAATGTCACCTCCCTCTCCACCTCCTACTCGGGTATTCTTGCTGACGTCGCATTCATGAGCTTGAACAAAAAGCCGTTTTTTCTAAAAACCAGTTTTTGTGATATAGCTCGAAGGCGACGTCCATAACCCGCCCATCTCCACCCCTCGAGAGTTGACTTTTAATTACTGCTCTCTCTGAGGCAAGAGATGAGGTTCGCAGTGCGCATAGTGGTTAGATGAAGGAAGGACTTTGAAAATAGCAATTAAATGCCAGGTAGCGACGTGTCCTCCTAATATTACTTATTAAGTAATTATTAGATGTTTTAATTGCCTGTATGTTGGCCTGGCGAATTGGCTAGGAATTAACATAGGCTACCTAGGTAGCATTTGCTGAGTGTCACATTCGAGCCATCTCAAAAAAACTGGTTTTTAGAAAAAAAGGCTTTTTCTAGTGTATTTGTGTATGTTTAGACTGAATATGACCTTTATTTCTGGCGGAAATTAGCCGCTTTTTTTTATCAAATTTTTTTCGTTGGACATTTTCCGAAAAAATTACGGCAAAATACACCAAAGAACACTAGAAGAACAAAAACCAAACCAAACCAAACCAAACCTAACCTAACTGATTCTCACCATATGATGGAATTACCTATTTCTTACCTTATTGGCCTGGTTCTTGTTCATCGTTGGATTCTGAGATTCTTACACAATGCCACAAATGTTGGTCTTTGCAATATTTACATTCAGTCTTGCTCTTAGTACACTTTACTGAGGTTGGAAGAACACCATGTGATCGAAAAAATGCTAGTTTCTTCGTTTTTTCCCAAAAACTCGCAATCAGCTCCATATAATTCAAGTGACACCCATTGCAGACTTCCAGGGTCGGAACTGAATTTGAATTTCAAAATATGAGACCCAAAATAAAACTCGAATTTCATTGGATTAAAAATTCCGCAAATTAAACCCAAAATCATTTTAATTGATTGCAAAAACAAAAACACTTTTGATTGGCCACGTGATGTGTATGGGAATGCATGCGCACGATGATTTATGAAGAAGACACGCAGTGTGGGAGGTGAGGTAGGCAATAATGGTACAAGATTAATGGAAGAAAATAGAGAAAATTTTGGATATGCTTTCTCCGTTATTATACATTTCCGCCGGTAATGTAATAGATGAAAATTATCTTATAATTAGATGTCTTATTCGAATATGATAATAGATTAGTGGTAGGAATGTGTGGTGTGTAAATGCAAAAATACTTATGTTGTGTTGTCAAAGTAAGAAAAACAACTGACACCCTGCAATTGTGTTTAAATAAGGCAGAAAGTTAGACAGATTAGCAACCTGGGACTTGGTCACAAGTTTTGTGATGCAAAATGGCAACAGGATCTACCATTAGACAACACATTATGCTTCCAATATCTTTCCAGGCATTAGTACCTCCACTTTCTCATGAGCAGATCAGCACCAGGATTTAAAGTACAGTACAGTAAATGGAATTTCTAAATGTCCACTACTTTTTAAGTTACTTACCAGTAACTGTATTTGTATAATATTTCTTTTTCCTGCTTCTATTGCTACTTTTTAATGAATAAAAAAGCAATGTACCATGTAGGTATAGTAACTGTATTTAAAGTGCTGTACTATACATCATATGAACTACCTGTGTTCAATAATTACCCATGGAAGGGTTACTTCCGGTTTACAGAATTTTCAGCTTACGGATAGCCTTCAGTAATGGAACCCACCGTAACACGGGGAATGACTGTACTTTGATGTTGTGGCACGACCCAGGTGTAACAACAATTGCATCAGCAAGTACGAACTACCATTTATTAAGTGAACCAATAACCAATGTATTAACATCCTACCTTAGAGTAGACAGCACTCATTAGTGAGGATCTTATTTTGATACCAATGAGCCAGGCCTTGTATGCAAAGATGGTTCTGAGGACAGTGGTGAGGAGGCTCACCAGGAGCATCAGAATGGAATAAAAGTAGCCATGCCACACTGGCTCACTTTCACTCATTGTAAAGCTGATCAACAAACTGTAAATATAGGTAAAGGAAAAGAATAAAATATTATAAAAATATACACACATATGCTTGCTGTACAGTATATATTTCTTGGATCACGTGAAGAGAAAGTGCCACAGCTTATTTCACCAAATGATTAACTACCCTAATGTTACCTGGGGTGTTAGGTTGCGTTCGGATGGATAATCTTCAGGTTAAATACATTGGGCTGCCTAATGTTCAGGTGATCCGACACTTCTCATGAACCAAACTAGCTTTTTAAACTTAAATGTTAAGAGGTGAAGCAGAGTGGAGTATGTCAGGTGGGGTGTAGGTACATAACCTCATCATCCTGTTGGTGTATGTCAGGTGGGGTGTAGGTACATAACCTCATCATCCTGTTGGTGTATGTCAGGTGGGGTGTAGGTACATAACCTCATCATCCTGTTGGTGTATGTCAGGTGGGGTGTAGGTACATAACCTCATCATCCTGTTGGTGTATGTCAGGTGGGGTGTAGGTACATAACCTCATCATCCTGTTGGTGTATGTCAGGTGGGGTGTAGGTACATAACCTCATCATCCTGTTGGTGTATGTCAGTATGTCAGGGGGGTGTAGGTACATAACCTCATCATCCTGTTGGTGTATGTCAGGTGGGGTGTAGGTACATAACCTCATCATCCTGTTGGTGTATGTCAGGTGGGGTGTAGGTACATAACCTCATCATCCTGTTGGTGTATGTCAGGTGGGGTGTAGGTACATAACCTCATCATCCTGTTGGTGTATGTCAGGTGGGGTGTAGGTACATAACCTCATCATCCTGTTGGTGTATGTCAGGTGGGGTGTAGGTACATAACCTCATCACCTCATCATCCTGTTGGTGTATGTCAAGTGGGGTGTAGGTACATAACCTCATCATCCTGTTGGTGTATGTCAGGTGGGGTGTAGGTACATAACCTCATCATCCTGTTGGTGTATGTCAGGTGGGGTGTAGGTACATAACCTCATCATCCTGTTGGTGTATGTCAGGTGGGGTGTAGGTACATAACCTCATCATCCTGTTGGTGTATGTCAGGTGGGGTGTAGGTACATAACCTCATCATCCTGTTGGTGTATGTCAGGTGGGGTGTAGGTACATAACCTCATCATCCTGTTGTCTACTGTATACCAAAAGTTATCAATTCCTTCTTTTCAGAATTTCCTTCTTCATTTGGGAGTAGGTTACTTATATTAACTACAGTTATAAAGTGTCTTGGCTTACAATACACAGATAAAAATTGTATTAAAAATCTATATACTGTAATACATACTCTGTTTGTGTTACTCATAATTGATATTTTTATGATAGAAAAATATTGGTGAAAATAACTGACAAACAAAACCCAAAACTGGTAAAGAGATATGTATGTTAGTTAATTGATTGACTAATGGGTGTAACAAATATGTATGTTAATTAATTGATTGACTAATGGGTGTAACAAATATGTATGTTAGTTAATTGACTAATGGGTGTAACAAATATGTATGTTAATTAATTGATTGACTAATGGGTGTAACAAATATGTATGTTAATTAATTGATTGACTAATGGGTGTAACAAATATGTATGTTAATTAATTGATTGACTAATGGGTGTAACAAATATGTATGTTAATTAATTGATTGACTAATGGGTGTAACAAATATGTATGTTAATTAATTGATTGACTAATGGGTGTAACAAATATGTATGTTAGTTAATTGACTAATGGGTGTAACAAATATGTATGTTAATTAAATTGACTAATGGGTGTAACAAATATGTATGTTAATTAATTGATTGACTAATGGGTGTAACAAATATGTATGTTAATTAATTGATTGACTAATGGGTGTAACAAATATGTATGTTAATTAATTGATTGACTAATGGGTGTAACAAATATGTATGTTAGTTAATTGACTAATGGGTGTAACAAATATGTATGTTAGTTAATTGACTAATGGGTGTAACAAATATGTATGTTAATTAATTGATTGACTAATGGGTGTAACAAATATGTATGTTAATTAATTGATTGACTAATGGGTGTAACAAATATGTATGTTAATTGATTGACTAATGGGTGTAACAAATATGTATGTTAATTAATTGATTGACTAATGGGTGTAACAAATATGTATGTTAGTTAATTGACTAATGGGTGTAACAAATATGTATGTTAATTAATTGATTGACTAATGGGTGTAACAAATATGTATGTTAATTAATTGATTGACTAATGGGTGTAACAAATATATGTTGGTTGAATGACTAATAGGTGCTAACAAATATGTATGTTAGTTAATTGATTGACTAATGGGTGTAAATATGTATGTTAGTTAATTGACTAATGGGTGTAACAAATATGTATGTTAGTTAATTGATTGACTAATGGAATTGTAATATAACCCATGTTAGTTAATTGATGATTGACTAATGGGTGTAACAAATATGTATGTTTAGTTATTGATTTGACTAATAGATTGCTTAACAAATATGTATGTTAGTTAATTGATTGACTAATGGGTGTAACAAATATGTATGTTAGTTAATTGACTAATGGGTGTAACAAATATGTATGTTAGTTAATTGATTGACTAATGGGTGTAACAAATATGTATGTTAGTTAATTGACTGACTAATGGGTGTAACAAATATGTATGTTAGTTAATTGACTAATGGGTGTAACAGATATGTATGTTAGTTAATTGATTGACTAATGGGTGTAACAAATATGTATGTTAGTTAATTGATTGACTAATGGGTGTAACAAATATGTATGTTAGTTAATTGATTGACTAATGGGTGTAACAAATATGTATGTCAGTTAATTGATTGACTAATGGGTGTAACAAATATGTATGTTAGTTAATTGATTGACTAATGGGTGTAACAAATATGTATGTTAGTTAATTGATTGACTAATGGGTGTAACAAATATGTATGTTAGTTAATTGATTGACTATGGGTGTAACAAATATGTATGTTAGTTAATTGACTAATGGGTGTAACAAATATGTATGTTAGTTAATTGACTAATGGGTGTAACAAATATGTATGTTAGTTAATTGATTGACTAATGTGATATGTATGTTAGTTAATTGATTGACTAATGGGTGTAACAAATATGTATGTTAGTTAATTGATTGACTAATGGGTGTAACAAATATGTATGTTAGTTAATTGATTGACTAATGGGTGTAACAAATATGTATGTCAGTTAATTGATTGACTAATGGGTGTAACAAATATGTATGTTAGTTAATTGATTGACTAATGGGTGTAACAAATATGTATGTTAGTTAATTGATTGACTAATGGGTGTAACAAATATGTATGTTAGTTAATTGATTGACTAATGGGTGTAACAAATATGTATGTTAGTTAATTGACTGACTAATGGGTGTAACAAATATGTATGTTAGTTAATTGACTAATGGGTGTAACAGATATGTATGTTAGTTAATTGATTGACTAATGGGTGTAACAAATATGTATGTTAGTTAATTGATTGACTAATGGGTGTAACAAATATGTATGTTAGTTAATTGATTGACTAATGGGTGTAACAAATATGTATGTCAGTTAATTGATTGACTAATGGGTGTAATAAATATGTATGTTATTAATTGATTGACTAATGGGTGTAACAAATATGTATGTTAGTTAATTGATTGACTAATGGGTGTAACAAATATGTATGTTAGTTAATTGATTGACTATGGTGTAACAAATATGTATGTTAGTTAATTGACTAATGGGTGTAACAAATATGTATGTTAGTTAATTGACTAATGGGTGTAACAAATATGTATGTTAATTAATTGATTGACTAATGGGTGTAACAAATATGTATGTTAGTTAATTGACTAATGGGTGTAACAAATATGTATGTTAGTTAATTGATTGACTAATGGGTGTAACAAATATGTATGTTAGTTAATTGACTAATGGGTGTAACAAATATGTATGTTAGTTAATTGATTGACTAATGGGTGTAACAAATATGTATGTTAGTTAATTGATTGACTAATGGGTGTAACAAATATGTATGTTAGTTAATTGTCTAATGGGTGTAACAAATATGTATGTTAGTTAATTGATTGACTAATGGGTGTAACAAATATGTATGTTAGTTAATTGATTGACTAATGGGTGTAACAAATATGTATGTTAGTTAATTGATTGACTAATGGGTGTAACAAATATGTATGTTAGTTAATTGTCTAATGGGTGTAACAAATATGTATGTTAGTTAATTGATTGACTAATGGGTGTAACAAATATGTATGTTAGTTAATTGATTGACTAATGGGTGTAACAAATATGTATGTTAGTTAATTGATTGACTAATGGGTGTAACAAATATGTATGTTAGTTAATTGATTGACTATGGGTGTAACAAATATGTATGTTAGTTAATTGATTGACTAATGGGTGTAACAAATATGTATGTTAGTTAATTGATTGACTAATGGGTGTAACAAATATGTATGTTAGTTAATTGATTGACTATGGGTGTAACAAATATGTATGTTAGTTAATTGATTGACTAATGGGTGTAACAAATATGTATGTTAGTTAATTGATTGACTAATGGGTGTAACAAATATGTCAATTAATTGAATAATGGGTGTAACAGATTTGTATGTTAGTTAATTGACTAATGGGTGTAAAGGAGTGGAATGTGCCCTGACAGTGTATGTTTCATCATTAACATTTTAATGAAGTAAAACTCACCTCAAAAGTCGTGGAGTAAAAAATAAAAGTAATTCTGAAGTAACATGTAGAACAGCAGTGATGATGTAAGACCAAAAGAAGGAGCGAATGATGACCCTTGTGACAGATACTCGCACTGGTCCTGATGGCTCTCTCTCTCCACCACCTTGCTCACTTTTTGATGATGAAATCTTACTTCTAAGTAATAAAAAAAAATACATGTTAAAATGATGATTTTACATAATTAATAATACAGTACTTTACACATTTATCATTTCCACCACTTATCATCTTATTGGTCTGCTCTTGCTACAACTTTCATTGTTTGGCCTTAGTACAGGAGGGGAAGTATTTCTAAGTACATTCTCTTCATTTGATAAGCTTAGGCAATTAAACACTGTGAAGTGTGTATTATACAGTTAGTGGAGTAATTACAAGAAGAATGCAAGAGGTTTCAATCTGTATCACTAGAGAGGTTCAGAAAATATGGATAATCAGACAACCTGTGTCAGTAAGATGTTTGCATCTGCCAAAATTACTAATTTAAACAATGGTCATATCTAATAAATAAATTGGAAACAATGATTATCAAAATTAACCTAAATATTCCTGGTATGAAGCTATTGTATATCCCAAATTTCATATTGTTCCACAAAGCTTTGCTTAAGTTACTGACTAATGATAATTTTTTTTATTGATATCTAAAATAAGTATCACCCCTCATTTTAGTTTTGGCTTGTGATTGGTTAGAGCCAGACGCCTACAATCTCAAGAGTTACGGGTCAAAATTATCACCCACTTGTCCCTCAACAGTTAAGTCCTTCAGTGGACAGACGCACGGACGCGCACACATCCTGGAATTTTCCGGTCAACGGAAAAATGTTCTCGGAAGTTCCAGAAATTGAGCTTGATTTTCATCTCTGAAATCTGGAAGTGACACCCCTGCCAAAATGTGTTTTTTGAGGGATATCACTATTTTCACCCTTCCTCTACATGGTGGAATTGGATGTAACCCTCTAGCTAGAATAGAAATATGGTAGAAAGTCCTTCAAAAATAAGGTGTAATTTCGCCTCAGGTTGGAGGTATGTATATGGCTGTGCGCTCAGTCAAAGAAGGTGGCAACATCCCGTTCAGAGCGAGAGGAGCGTGAGCCAATAACAGCGGACCTCCCTCTGACCATAACCCCTGAGGCAGCCAATCACAATGGATTTCCCCTTGTTACGTCACAGCTCCTCGGCCAATCCGCGTCCCCAGATACTGCCACTTTTTAGTTTTGGCACGTTTTACCTGTATAGCATAAGGAGGTTCAGTGTAAGTTCTACTGCTATTTTTGATAGCTTTTCGGCATAACATTGATGATATTCGTGTTCCACGGGAGTGAGAAGTGTTGTGTAATATCTGCCTCATATTAGAGCAAAATTTGCCCTCACAATTTTCTGGATGTGCAGCTTCTTCAACCTTGAGCTGTGACCCCTCGTGGGGCAGGTGTCTGTCATCTCCAGGTATGGACACTCGACAGAGTAGTGCCCTCTGAGACATTTATACAGTACACTTCAATTAGGTCACCCTTTGAACATCTGTAGTACTGTGTAAGCTAAGCCTTCCTCCCATTGTGATTGCTGTTAATGCTAAGCCTTCCTCCCACTGTGATTGTTGTTAATGCGAAGCCTTCCTCTCACTGTGATTGTTGTTAATGCTTAGCCTTCCTTCCACTGTGATTGTTGTTAATATTAAGCCATCCTTCCACTGTGATTGTTGTTAATGTTAAGCCTTCCTTCCACTGTGATTGTTGTTAATGCTAAGCCTTCTTCCCACTGTGATTGTTAATGCTAAGCCTTCCTCTCACTGTGATTGTTATTAATGTTAAGCCTTCCTCCCACTGTGATTGTTGTTAATGCTAAGCCTTCCTCCCACAGTAATTGTTGTTAATGTTAAGCCTTCCTCCCACTGTGATTGTTATTAATGCTAAGCCTTCCTATAACTGTGATTGTTGTTAATGCAAAGTCTTCTTCCCACTGTGATTGGTGTTAATGCTAAGCCTTCCTCCCACTGTGATTGTTGTTAATGCAAGCCTTCCTCTCACCTAAGCCTTCCTCCCACTGTGATTTAATGTGATAAGCCTTCCTCCCACTGTGATTGTTGTTAATGCTAAGCCTTCCTTCCACTGTGAATGTTGTTAATGTTAAACCTTCCTTCCACTGTGATTGTTGTTAATGCTAAGCCTTCCTCACTGTGATTGTTAATGCTAAGCCTTCCTCCCACTGTGGTGTTGTTAATGCTAAGCCTTCCTCCCACTGTGATTGTTGATAATTCTAAGCCTTCCTCTCACTTGATTGTTGTTAATGCTAAGTCTTCCTCCCACTGTGACTGTTGTTAATGCTAAGCCTTCCTCTCACTGTGATTGTTGTTAATGCTAAGCCTTCCTCCCACTGTGATTGTTGTAAATGCTAAGCCTTCCTCTCACTGCGATTGTTGTTAATGCTAAGCCTTCCTCCCACTGTGATTGTTGTAAATGCTAAGCCTTCCTATAACTGTGATTGTTGTTAATGCAAAGTCTTCCTCCCACTGTGATTGGTGTTAATGCTAAGCCTTCCTCCCACTGTGATTGTTGTTAATGCCAAGCCTTCCTCTCACTGTGATTGTTGTTAATGCTAAGCCTTCCTCCCACTGTGATTGTTGTTAATGCTAAGCCTTTCTCCCACTGTCATTGTTGTTAATGCTAAGCATTCCTTCCACTGTGATTGTTGTTAATGCTAAGCCTTCCTCTCACTGTGATTGTTGTTAATGCTAAGCCTTCCTCTCACTGATTGTTTTTCATGCTAAGCCTTCCTCTCACTGTGATTGTTGTTAATGCTAAGCCTTCCTCTCACTGTAATTGTTGTTAATGCTAAGCCTTCCTCTCACTGTGATTTTGTGAATGCTAAGCCTTCCTCTCACTGATTATTGTTAATGCTAAGCCTTCCTCTATCTGTGATTGATGTTAACACTAAGCCTTCCTCTCACTGATTGTTAATGCAAAGCCTTCCTCTCACTGTGATTGTTGTTAATGCTAAGCCTCCTCCTGATTGTTGTTAATGCTAAGCTCTTGATTATTTGTTAATACTAAGCCTTCCTCTCACTGTCATTGTAGTTAATGCTAAGCCTTCCTCTCACAGTCATTGTTGTTAATGCTAAGCCTTCCTCTAACTGTGATTGTTGTTAATGCTAAGCCTTCCTCTCACTGTGATTGTTGTTAATGCTAAGCCTTCCTTTCACTGTGATTGTTGTTAATGCTAAGCCTTCCTCTCACTGTAATTGTTGTTTACACTAAGCCTTCCTCTCACTGTCATTGTTGTTAACACTAAGCCTTCCTCTCACAGTCATTGTTGTTAATGCTAAGCCTTCCTCTAACTGTGATTGTTGTTAATGCTAAGCCTTCCTCTCACTGTGATTGTTGTTAATCTTTAAGCCTTCCTCTAACTGATTGTTGGTAATGCTAAGCCTTCCTCTCACTGTGATTGTTGTTTAATGCTAAGCCTTCCTCTCACTGTGATTGTTGTTAATCTTCAGCCTTCCTCTCACTGTGATTGTTGTTAATGCTAAGCCTTCCTCTCACTGATTATTGTTTACACTAAGCCTTCCTCTCACTGTAATTGTTGTTAATGCTAAGCCTTCCTCTCACTGTCATTGTTGTTAACACTAAGCCTTCCTCTCACAGTCATTGTTGTTAATGCTAAGCCTTCCTCTAACTGTGATTGTTGTTAATGCTAAGCCTTCCTCTCACTGTGATTGTTGTTAATGCTAAGCCTTCCTCTCACTGATTATTGTTTACACTAAGCCTTCCTCTATCTGATTGTTGTTAACAGTAAGCCTTCCTCTCACTGATTGTTGTTAATGCTAAGCCTTCCTCTAACTGATTGTTGTTAATGCTAAGGCTTCCTCTCACTGTGATTGTTGTTAATGCTAAGCCTTCCTCTCACTGTGATTGTTGTTAATGCTAAGCCTTCCTCTCACTGTGATTGTTGTTAATACTAAGCTTTCCTCTCACTGTGATTGTTGTTAATGCTAAGCCTTCCTCTCACTGTGATTGTTGTTAATGCTAAGCCTTCCTCTCACTGATTGTTGTTAATGCTAAGCCTTCCTCTAACTGATTGTTGTTAATGCTAAGCCTTCCTCTCACTGTGATTGTTGTTTATGCTAAGCCTTCCTCTATAAGTGATTGTTGTTAACACTAAGCCTTCCTCTTACTGTGATTGTTATTAATGCTAAGCTTTCCTCTCACTATGATTTTTGTTAATGCTAAGCCTTCCTCTCACTGTGATTGTTGTTAATGCTAAGCCTTCCTCTCACTGTGATTGTTAATAATGTTAAGCCTTCCTCTCACTGTGATTGGTGTTAGTGCTAAGCCAACCTCTCACTGTGATTGTTGTTAATGCTAAGCCTTCCTCACTGTGATTGTTGTTAACGCTAAGCCTTCCTCTAACTGATTGTTGTTAAAGCTAAGCCTTCCTCTAACTGATTGTTGTTAATTCTAAACCTTCCTCTCACTGTGATTGTTGTTAATGCTAAGCCTTCCTCTATCTGTGATTGTTAACACTAAGTCTTCCTCTATCAGTGATTGTTGTTAATGCTAAGCCTTCCTCTCACTGTAATTGTTGGTAATGCTAAGCCTTCCTCTCACTATGACTGGTGTTAATGCTAAGCCTTCCTCTCACTGTGATTGTTGTTAATGCTAAGCCTTCCTCTCACTGTGATTGTTGTTAATGATAAGCCTTCCTCTCACTGTGATTGTTGTTAGTTCTAAGCCTTCCTCTCAATGTGATTGTTGTTAGTGCTAAGCCTTCCTCTCACTGTGATTGTTGTTAACACTAAGCCTTCCTCCCCTTGATTGTTGATAATGCTAAGCCTTCCTCTCACTGATTATTAATGCTAAGCCTTCCTCTATCTGTGATTGTAGGTTAACACTAAGCCTTCCTCTCACTGATTGTTGTTAATGCTAAACCTTCCTCTCACTGTCATTGTTGTTAATGCTAAGCCTTCCTCCCACTGTGATTGTTGTTAATGCTAAGCCTTCCTCTCACTGTCATTGTTGTTAATGCTAAGCCTTCCTCGCACAGTCATTGTTGTTAATGCTAAGCCTTCCTCTCACTGTGATTGTTGTTAATGTTAAGCCTTCCTCTCACTGTCATTGTTGTTAATGCTAAGCCTTCCTCTCACT